ACAATAGATGTGTGTGTACGTAAACGCCACTGTAGCTTTGTATTGTTACGTAATCTATATTTTAGAGAAACTCTCCACACGCCTATAAATATAACCAACGCGACGCGCCTAAAAAACAGTATCTCTTATTGGTTTGCTATAGTTGGTGTGCTATAAAGTTCGGAAGCTATAACTGTGATTGTTATAACGCTTATTGATCAGAAGACTTAAGATATTTGACGAGGAACATTTATAAATTTCGAAAGTTATAAGCCATTTAACTTCAGTGGATTCACATCGGACATTAGTACTTTTACGAAAACATTACCTAACGTCATCGGTGGAAACTCGACCTGTAATCGGCGTGTGACCAGCGTGAACTACAGGGCTAGCTAGCTCCCTGTTAAGTGAATTATACCTACATCAACTCGAAATTAACTCGCTCATTGTGAACCCTGATAATATATCAAGGAAATTCCAGACTAGAAAGAAGACTTCATATTGCTTGTAAGTTTGTAAAACTTTGTATATAAATCATTGTTTGTAATAACTATTTGTCATAACTGTTGTTGTAAATTGTATTGTTGTTTGTATATTAAAACATATTTGTATTAAAAAAGAAAACTGTGTTTATCAATCTTGTTGACAAATATCATAAATTGGAGAAATATAGGCAAATATTTAACTACTAAATCTAATTTACAATTTAGCTCGGTTTCAGACCATTAGAAATTCTATTACGTAACATATAACTATCAATCATCAACTCTTGTAAATTTCTTGTATATAACTATCGACCATCTCATTCCTGTAAACCTCCAATATGTAATTATCAACCATTTCACTTCAGTAGACCTATTATGTAACTGTCAATCATCACACTCCTGTAATTTCTATTATGTAACTGTCGATCATCACACTCTTGTAAGTCCATATTATGTAACTATCAATCATCCCACTTCTGCATACATCTATTACGTAACAGTCAGCTATTACACGCCTGTAAATCTATTTTATGTAACTATCAACGTCCCACTCCTGTAAATCCCTGTTATGCAAAAATCAGCCATTCCATTCCTATAAATCCCTATTATGGAACAGTCAACCATTCCATTCCTATAAATCCCTATTATGGAACAGTCAACCATTCCATTCCTAAAACCTCTATGATATAATTATCAGCCATCCCACTCTTGTAAATCTCTATAAATATATCTTTCGACTTTAACTCTACCAAATGATTTAGCTACTTCAAATGGCCATTAGATGGGCTCATAAAACTACCTCGCTCTTTGCACTATTATAATAAACAGCTAATTTTTCTGCCTGTCCAAATAACAGCCACGTCTCTTAAGGTTTCCTGTATTGTTAAATAATTATTAAGCAATACAGTATTTAATTGTTTTATATAAATGGAATTTGTATTTACGACTAACATAAGTTACGAACACTTAAAGGTCTAAAATCTGAAATTCCTTTTAAAACAGTGTTTTCATTAAACTTCCGTGTTATCCAATATACTAAAACAAAATGGTATGATTTTCCAAAAATATACTGGCTTGTTGTAGGGATAAGCATGCACAACAAGCTTTAATTCCTCTGTGAGGACCCATTATTTGGTCGAGTCTTTAACATACCAACTAGCAAGAGACAAACTTAATTCTTTTTTCAATTCAAGAAAGGATTTTTGGATTGAAAAAATATCTTTCATAAATAAATCTCAAACGATTAAGTCTTTCGATTCCTTCCAAATGATAGACTCTTTTGTAAGCATTCGCCAATCTTTTATGTTCACATTCGGTTTTAAAGATCAGTAAAGATACTGAGCTTCCTAACTCTCTTCTGTATGCACATGCTTAAAAAAGAAACAATATTTCTAACTTACATTAGTACAAGAAACAATTAACTATCTCTTTACCTTCCTTAAATAAAACTAATTATTATTTACTAACAAATATTTTATCTTTTCACCATGTTTACAGAACGTATTCTCTTATATTACATTTACCACTTCATCGAATTTTCGAATTAACGCCAAACAACAATGTCTTCTTGAGTATCGAAATACCAGTCCTACATATATATATTCTTCTTATCAGTGTTTATCTATACTATCACTCAATGAGACCTTTTATCAACTAGCTAAGAACAAATAGAATTCGATTACATTGTTGACTAACTACTCAGTTTTCTAGTTCTAACTTGTACATAAAGTTTTCTACATAACTATGAAATTGTCTACTTCTGTAACGCTCTCTAAGCAAAATTCTCACATTTTTAATGGAACATTTTGTCATAAATATTAAACAAATTCTACATAGCTTTGTTTCTAAATTCTAAATTAAGTTTGTTTAAATTAAACACTTGTTCTGTAACCTTCTCCACAGAGTGTTTTAGATGAGACATGCAATTATCGATCACTCTATACAAGAGTGTTTCTTATGTTAGAATACCTAATTTAACATTCTTTCTAAAAAAATCAGTCGTTTTCTAAGACCACCTGGATTAACTCCAAAGTTCAGCTTTGTTGGCAGAAGTTCAAATTTGTCTAACTTCTAACGAAACACCAAAGCACGACGGTTTCCATTATTATTTTGACAATTGTTGTGGGGTAGTTATAGGATTAGTATTAATTACCCAGTTTCTGTGTTTTGAAAACTTAAACAAATAGGTTTAAGAAAGGCTTATTATGTATTGACAGTGTAGAACTAAGATAGCAGGTGAGAATGGCCCCTAGACGTTACATGTAATCAGCAGCATGATATTCTACACACGTATACCTTTAGTAGTTATGCTACAAAACAAAATAAACCACTTTTGATCTTTATACATTAAACGGCAACTTAGTCATTTTTTTAATATTCTACAAAGACAGGTGATTAAACTATACTTGATTGTTGATAATTCACCTTTCTGACTACAGAAAGGTTTTATCCAACAATGACATATATAAAAATAATACGAAACGTTTCAAATTACATATTACGTGGTTGTGTGGAGTAAACTGCATTTAGAAGAAAGGAGAAAAACCTTATTATGTCTGCCTAGTCAAAGTAATGGAATGACAATTAAGTTTGGCAGCAGATGTATGGAAAACGAAGACATTTCTGATCTATCTTTTGTCTGCCACAAGTCACTGCCTAGGAGGTCTTTCGTTCAACACCAGAATTCATCACCTGGGGTGAACTTACGACAGCCAATAGTTTATCTTTACACAAGTCTTATTTATAAATCATTATAACTAAGAAGAGTATGATAAAAACCAATCTCAATTTAATCTCTAATAAGCCACATCGTTTCGCCAGGCTAGGCGTTTTACATTACAGTTAATATAATATATCACGGAAGAGCTAATAGAAAAGTTTTAATTATATTCTATGTTTATATTTATCATTTGTAACAAACATTTTAACCTAAATTACAATACCCTCAAATAGTTACCACATACTTTAACTGAATTATAGGGCTACATTTCTGTGCTGGATATCAAATTATTCTAACATTTTCTGCAAGTGGTTATCCCTAATTTTTAAACAAGTCTTATAAATGAGGTCCGTTGTGACATTCACGCCTTTTAAAATTACGAAAAAGTATAATATTCTTTGTGAGTGTCTCACTAGTTGAATAGATGGATTGTCTATACTATTATTTGCCACTGCTTTGTTGATATACCGCTGTTGAAAGCCTCCTCTTCTCTCAAATGAAACACATTTAATAAAGAAATAGAAAAATACAAATATTTCAGACTTTTATATCAAAATGTAAAGGTTACAGAACGAGTATTCGATCTTATATTTGGTTCTTAATGTTAAATAACACATTTGCATTGTTTAGTGACTAACTCCTATATTTAATTGTGGGCTTGCTGATTTTTTATCACCGTATTTAATACGAATGTGACATTCAAGAAGTGAGAGACCCTCATACAAAAAATTTCAAAATCTCTTATTGAAATCTAGCGTACAAAAGATTCACATCAGCCTGGTAAAGACGAGTTTTTCGTCCTTCTCTATACACGGTGAACTTTAGTATGGAATTTCAATCTCGAAAAGTCATCTTTCAAAAAGTTTAGAAGTTATCTCAGAGCATTTAAATAAAGGTATAATTGCTGTTAAGAAGATAACTGTTTAGGAATAGTCCACCGAAAATATGTTATCCAGGAATTGTCTAGACTCTTTGTGCTACTCGAAAGTGGCAGAGAAACAGTTATACAGAGGGTTGAGTACGTTGTATTAAAACAATATTGAATATGCCAATCAGCAAATCATGTGAAACCACAACCAATATAAAGTCGCGGTGGAAAGGCATGTATCAGACTAATTAATGATGGCGAGAAACCCACCACAAATATCAGACTGTTGTTTGTCGCTTCGTAGGTAGTACAATGCCACAGCAAATTGATCGCTTTAGGAAAGACGATGTAACAGACCTTTCCGACGGAAAATATTGATAAACTCGGATGACAAAGATGTGTCCAGATAGGGAACTTAGAATTTCCGAGATTTAATGGCACTGGAAAATAAACAAACATGGATCAACTCAAGCCAATAGGACCACCTAGTAACAGACCTGTATCTAGTCGTACTCACACCGTGATAAGCAAAGTGCGGCATCTTGTAACAAATGAGAAGCCACGAACCAAGGGATCAGTGGTAGAAGTCGTCCGCATGTTCCAGGCCACTGTACGGAACATAACCAAAAATGATCTCCGTCTTGAAAAGTGACACAAGTCACACCTACACCAGTGTTTCAGCAACATAGCCAAGAAAGAAAGAATAACTGTACAAAAATGGCAGTAAACTTGGTAACATTCGACGAACATTGATAAGTGTAATACGTATCGTGCCATTTTCTACTGGTCAATGCAATGTACGACATGTAACGAAACTTTTTGGAAGGGATTCATGATCATCGTTGTACATTACGCCAGGGACAAGTTAGAGAGATCAGGAAAGTGACTGCAAAGGTCAAAGTGAACTCTTATTATTATCGGGCCAATGTTTTGGACACTTTGTATCACACGTAAGTACAGGCTTTGTATGGAACCAAGGCAAACAGGGTCTGGACTTACCAAAATAAGGCTTGCATTCATACCTCCCGTTCAACTCTCGCATACCTCAAGCAGCAAGAGAATGAAATGGGTATTCATATTATTCCACCTGAAGACATACTGGTCAAGTCGACAGACGTAGCGCCTATGGATTTCTGTGCAATCGGGCTGTTGAAATGGGTGCTAAGAAACCATAATCCTCTTGCACTAGATGGTTCACAGAAAGCATATGAAAGGAGTGGTGTGCTTTGAACACGATAACTTTAAGATGAAGCATTTTGCAATGGAAACTGTGCTGCAGAGCTACTGTCAAAATACACAATCGTCAGATAAGGTATACCCGGACGCGATGACATGGACAGTAAGGACGTGGTGAGGCTCCAAAATAATTTTCATATTACATACTCAACCCTTTGTATGTGTATACTAGCCATAGTTTGGCGAGTAGAGTCTTCTTTTGGAATGCTATTTATTAATTTGGAAAAATACATATGTTTTTGGGTGGGGGAGGGGAATATAAGAACCTGTTAAATACGGAAATTATACGTATATTTATGTTTTCATTAATTTGTTTGTTCAGATAAAAGCCTTGTCACGTTAAGCAAAAAAATTGAAATGTTCCAGGTTTACTTGGTGGAGTGTTATCCACTTAAATAAGCATATGCATAAAAAAAGGTGGGGGATATAATGAATGAACAAACACATAGACTTGCCTATGCGTGGCTAAAAGTAGGACATAAAGAATTACTCCATTTATCAGCTCTTCAAGCTGTTTATTGTGACAAGATGCAAGCTGCTTTACGGAAAGTCATGTTGTTTAATATGTGGAAGACTTAATATCAAAATAGGAATTTGGAGCGTTATAAGTGATAGTTATTTTAAACTACGATCAGTTTTTCTTCATTAATAAACACGAGAAGTGTTGACGAAAATCTCGTCGACAGCAACAGCAACCTGGTGACCCAAAACACCTACCTTTCTTCTGAAGATTCTGTGAAACAAAAATAACAATTCCAGTACAAGTTGAGATGAAGGATTGCAAGAGGAATGTTACTTGCCCTAACCGTAGAAGCAAACATATGGCATATTGATGGTTTTTTTTTTTGGAGTTCTGTGATTATTTTTTCAATTTTTTAATTAAATCTTTTTAAAAAAACAGCACAAACCTACATGATGCTACATTAAGTGAAATTAACGTGAATTTATACCTTAAAATATCTTGAAGACGGTTTACGCTATTTCAATCGATAACAAACATAGGTTTTGCTAGGAAAACCTTTAAAATAAAATAACATTCGAGACAAACTAGAGAGTCCAAGTGTCAATGTGCAGCAATGACAAAGGTCAAGGTTTTCTTTGCTTGTGTTGTGAATTAAATTCATATATTTCTCATGTTTAGATAATCCATAAGTTCACATACCAGGACTCATAGTTACTGCTATAAAACGCCACATATGAGCAATATGTGATTTAATAATAATTGCAATTGTACAATAAAGGCCATGGAAATGAAAAACAGTTTTGATATGAAATTATTTAGAATAGTCGGCATTGTAGCTTAAAAAATAAACAATATAATAGTTAAAATTAATTAGATAATGTTACAGTTTTGAAATTCAAAACACTGACTACATCAAAGACCAGTACATCATAAATGTTTAAGACTCTTCAATAAGATTATTTAAAATAAACCCATTTTACGCTAAAAGCGTTTCAGATATACTTCTATGACATTATGTTTAGTCTGTACTAGAACATTTGGATGAAGAACTTTACCAATATTTTTATGCTGAATCATTCATACACACAACAGTCACATATATAATATCGTGAAAGTATTTTTTTATTCCTGAACACTTACTCTCTTGTATGTTATGCGCAACTAGAGCTTTCCTAAGTCCAGTTGGTCCATAAGTTTTCTTCATATTTTCGATTCCTTCTGGAGTACCATAATAAGTTCGATAGAACTGTTGATAAGAACTTGTTGGTTCGGGTCCACTTCTTTCAAGAAACTCTCCATAGTCGCTATCTTTTTGGCTTTCAAGGCGTCCCTTTGGATATTAGATATACAATACAGTTAAAATGTCGAAAGATTAACGAAATCAAACAGTGAAAACTAGATAATTGAGTTTGATAAACAAAAAGCAATATGAACTGTATTTAATGCCTATTTCTGATTATCCATATATATTATGGTCGTGTCTCTCTGTTCTTTATCTAAGTGTCAAATCTTGATGAACAAGAAGAAGAGAACTAAAAATACCACAAGCAATCTGAATTAATATTTGTCAAGGACAATACTGCAAACCAGGACTTGATATATTGAGTCTTTCCTAATATTTTTGGTGGTGGGTTTGCCATACAACTTTAAATCCTGGTTAGTATAAATGATAACATTGATTACTGTTCTGAATTAAGCTAAATTTAGTACTACTTACAAATCATTAGAAGCAGTTGAAATATTACACCATCTTAAAGTAATTTCATCTTGTTATATGTATTCCAAAACAAAAGTAAAACGTAAAAGTATAAGAAAACACGTCTGTTCAGCCTCGAAAGCCTATATATATATATATATTGGTGAAGCTTGCTGTTGTTTTCTTTGTACAAACCTATACAAGTGTCTACGTGCACAATGTCCACCGCCGACAATCGAACCCCGAATTTTAGCATTGTAAAGGAATTGCTACCAAGTAGATAACTACACGTAGTTGAGTAGTGAGTTTATTTACATTTTAAAGTTGTAAAGGAATCGCTACCAAGTAGATAAATTCACACGGTTCAGAAGTGAGTTTATTCGGATGTTAGCGTTGTAAAGGGATCGTTACCAAGTAGATATATACACGTAGTTCACTAGTGAGTTTACTTTATCTGATGTATTACCAGCCTTAAAAACCAAAAAAACAACTGATAACTTCGTAAGTTGTGTTATGAACTATTGTTGAAACAGTAGGCATGGATCAGTTTATGAAATACCATATTTTGCTTTAAGTTATATGCAGTCTATTCCTGCAGTGTTATCTACTTAACTAAATCTCTTAGACGGGCTGTTGAATATAATGTGTGAGCAACAAAATACATATTCCATTAGGATGATCCGTGACTCACTTTTTAATTTAAATTTCCAAGCTTTAGCTTATAAACATCGTCAGTAAAATAACGTCTTAGTCAACTATTAGGTCGTCAAGAAATTAATGTCGCGTTTTGGAACACTTTCATTGACCACCCCCAAAAAACGTACATC